AAGCAGTGCAATTTAAAAAAAAAATCATTCATTCATAAAGCAGTGCTAAAAAAAACATGCATTTATAAAGCAGTGCAATTTAAAAAAAACATGCATTCATAAAGCATTGCAATTTTATTAAAACATGCATTCATAAAGCAGTGCTTAAAAAAACATGCATTCATAAAGCAGTGCAATTTAAAAAAAACATGCATTCATAAAGCATTGCAATTTTATTAAAACATGCATTCATAAAGCAGTGCTTAAAAAAACATGCATTCATAAAGCAGTGCAATAGAATTGCATGCGTTTCCCTTGCAGGCAGCATGTCTTAAGTGTCATTGTAGATTAAGATTGTAAATTTACAGTCCTGTTGTGTCTGATCAGGTTGCAGTGGCGCTACATGCCACCTTTGTGTGTTTGCTCACTACAGGTGCATCATGTCAAAGATGTTACACGTCCCTTTCCTTAGTAACAGATTCAGTAAGGCAAGATCTGTCACAGTAATTGGGTAAAATGTCTGGTGGAATGTGCATTGAAAATCTGGAAATATCAGGAAATTTTAAAGGTGAAGCATGTCATTTCTGTCACTAACGTCACCAAACAGAATTTCACTAAAATGACTGTTTCTCACCGCCAACGAACAAATAGTCCCGCCCCCAAACTCACACCTTTGGTTGAATTCCTGAGTTTTCTGTAGTGAATATCAATTTTTTAATGTCAGCAGCTACACTGTAAAAAATATTGTAGATAAAGCAAAAGTTATCGCAGTACATTTTGCAAGAAAATACAATTTCAGTCTTTCTACTTCAAAATTTCATGTTTAATTCACTGTACTACTTTCTTTGAAGAATAAAATGCTTTGAAACAGTTTTCACTCAAGAATTTGCTAGTAAATTTCACATATATTTACATTGTAGATATTGCTCTTTGTGAGTGCTTGTGTAGAGCAAAACTTCTCATTACCATAATGGCAAAAAAAATCATTATTATAATTTTTGAAAAATGTAATTTCCCCTAATTCTCATTATCGTAATACAAAAAAGCTCAATACTGTAATTTAATTTTTTATTAAATTTTTCCCCAATTCTCATTATCATAAAGCAAAAATTCTTATTACCATAATGTTTTTTTAAATTTAATTTGTTCATTAAAAAAAATAATAATAATTTCCCACCAATTTATTGCATTACACATAATGCAAAAAAATAAAAATAAAACAATTGTAAAGTATGTAAACATCACTGGTTGTAATTGCTGTACTGTTTTTATTTTGTTGATTTTAATGACAATGGCAATAAGAATTGCTCAAACGAGCATCTGGATGGGAAATGCATGTACTGATCAAATGTAAACCTTGAATTCAATGTAAGTCACTCTGGATAAAAGCATCTGCTTAATGCATAATTGCAAATATATGAATCCCATTGATTTGCAACTGAAACACAAATGTCTCTACAGTAAATCAGCCAACATTTGTCACTGCGAGAACTAACTCTCAAAACAAAACAAAACTCTGCTGTTATCATTATGTTTTAGACAGGAGCGATCACTGCACGCTCTTTAGTCACATTTAACATTTTACCCCATTGTGTAATAGAAGCGCATTAATGCTATGATATATGTCAAGCTGAAGTATCTCTGGAGAGACGGCTTGTTTTGGGTTGAGTCAGTGCTCTAATTGGAGTGTTTCCTGTCTGTAATGACCGGTGGAGAGTAGGTGGCTTCCTCTTCTCTCTGTGACTCATGGTTCGTCTGTGTGACAGACTGTGGAGGTGCATTGCTGCTTGGATAATTCAAAGGCCAACTGGTTTGTCAGTAAATGAATAGTTTGTCCAGTAATGAGACATTTTGTCATTCTCTCG